AATGTATTTGACTGCACATGCGAAGTCCAGTTCCCCGGAAATTTTCTCAATGCGTCTGTGCCTTGTGTGCAATGCATCTGTGCGTACATTTTAAACCGTAATCAACATACTTGAATTTGTTATTAAAACGTATGCGATGGCTATGGTGCTGTTTTGTATGCCATTTTAACCTTAAGCGTCATTTGCATATCATACATGTGCTAAAAATGCAACACTGAACATGCAGAATATGAAATTATGATGGTGATAACTATGCAGAATTGCGGAGGGAACATAATAGGGGTTTTCCGGTACCAAAAGGTCGATATTGAAGCATGCATGCCTTTAATACATTGTTTCATTCTCCTTGCTTATCTTGTCTTCTTTTTGTGCGCACTCGGTGGCGTAGCTAGGATATCGCCCATAAAAGAGCCAAATCCGGGTATAAAAAGCTCTTTCAGTCAAGGGGGCCCACTTCGTCGCTACAAGGTCTCTGTTGTTGGTTTCGGGGATTAGGGTGTGGATTCTATTTCGGTGTTTCAATGGCCCGCGTTTGATATTTTAGAAGCCCTACGACCGTCTTAAACTGCCAAAAAGTACTGGGGTCCTTGACCACGAAGGGAACCTCTACGCCTCCAAGGGGAAGACACAACCCCCAAGAGCCTTGGCTACGCCACTGTGCATACTTAATGGTGACAGCGCACGTTTAGACTCGGCTTCTAGCCAGCCACTCAGCTCGTGAGCATGAGGTCGTATGTGCGACTCTGTATCTATATGCACGTGAATTTATTACACACACACGTATCACTGCATGCAGTGAGCCCCGCAGAGCAAAGGCAACGCTCCAGCTGTGCCAGGCACACGACATTTCGTCGGGCTCCAAATAACGGTCCCTGTGAATTGATCGCACAAATGCTGTCAGTCGTGCAACCCTGGCCATGTGGTGCACTGGTTTTTGTTGCATCGGATCATCACCGGACAGGGCCGGTCAACACCGGACAGGGCCGGTCAAGTGAACCTATGCACTGGTTGGTCCCTTTACTGAACTTCCGATTGGCACACCCTCTGGAATGAAAGGCAGCCTCTTTTTACCGAAGAACGAAGTTATTCCGTCAGACCCTCAAACCAAAAAGTCATTGGGGACACAAACATCTTTGACTTTCATCGCCGCTTTTCCGATAAGTTCCCAAATGAGCGAGAAGTGCAGAATATAACACAGGTTATTCAAATACGGTTTGCTTGGAAGCCATTTCCTATGGCCAAAGCACGAAATTGGCCCAGTCTGCCAAAAATTACTGTGGTCTGGACCCCACGAATCCCATTGACTGGGGGGAGAGCTTATGACGGATTGACCTGTCTGAACTACGACGAGGTCCACCAATAGGTCAATAGGTCTGACAAGGTCTGACTAGGTCAATAAAGGATAATGGAACGACACTGCATAAGAAGTTGTCCCTCGATGCGCACATCCATGTTTGCTTTGGATTCGTCGCCGGTTTATCGATGCTTGGTTTGAAAGGTACGTTCCTGATTTTGCATGTGTTTTAGTCTCAATTTTGGGTTGGCTCCACTGCATTCTTACATTGTGATGTGCTTACTGGCAAACGTGTGTGGCGTTTATTGGTGTTTTGGGGTCTCTGCCTCTAACGCTGCTAGTGGTCTCTTTCAATCAAAAAAGGGCTTCCTAGGCGTCCAGTCAGGTCATTTTCCTACCCCGGACTCCGAAGTCGCCACCACCCACCACTAGACCCCAGCCGAAGGTCGTTATCCTACCCCGGCCTCCAAAGCCGCCACCACCCACCATCAGACCCCAGCCTCCAACAGCGCCAATGGCTCTCTTTAGACCTGGGTCTCCGACGTCGTCACTCGTCCACCTTGGACCTCGACATCCGACGGCGCCACCTGAGACTCCTGTGGTCCAGTCTTCAACGGCATCACAGGTCCTCCCTGCGCCCTGAAGTTTTCCGAATGGTCACTGTGGAGGTCTGGCTTACTTTGACATCGCCAGGTCTATTAGGGTGGCAACGTTCTGTTCATCGGCCCACAAAAAAGAAGGACTGGTGGGGAATATTCTGGGATAATTTGTTGGCATATGTAGCTAAAGCCGTTGCCTTACACGCCGGCACTGACACGGAATGTGGCTGTTGGCTACGTCGCTGTGGTCTTTGCTGGCCATGAAGTGTCTGTCTTTGGCCAATTTGGATCCATTTCATTGACCAACGTACGTTGTTTTAGATCCAGTGTCGCGTTAAGGGGATCCTTAAGGGGTCCCTAAGGGGTCCAGGGGGTCCTTAATCATCTCCTTTATCATCAGCTGAAATTTATGGTCCATAGGTGTTCGTGACTCGATTATGAGACTCAGCGTCCTCGGGTTATTTGGCCATTTCTGTCCCTGCGGCCACTCCGTAGTAGCATCGTGACTTTTCAGGATGTCTTGACGAGGCCTAATTGCAATGAATATTCAGCGCGTTACGCGTCTCAGACCCCGCAGACATCCTTTGCCTATGACCATATGATCAAGCGACTAGTCTCAGACCCCGCGGACATCCTTTGCCTATGACCATATGATCAAGCGACTAGTCTCAGACCCCGCGGACATCCTTTGCCTATGACCATATGATCAAGCGACTAGTCTCAGACCCCGCGGACATCCTTTGCCTATGACCATATGATCAAGCGACTAGTCTCAGACCCCGCGGACATCCTTTGCCTATAACCATATGATCAGGCGACTAGTCTCAGACCCCTCGGACATCCTTTGCCCTATGATCATATAATCAGGCGACTGTGGACTTCATTGGCAGAACAGTGTGACAGCATGTGCCGGAGTCAGCCTCGTAGTCTCAGGCTCCTCAGTCCTCCCGCGGGTCTCAGGCTCCTCAGTCCTCCTGCGGGTCTCAGGCTCCTTCAGTCCTCCTGCGTATCCATAGTCTTCGCAATCTCCTGATCCACGCCCTGTGCCTTGTCATAAACAAAGAATGCAAGCACCGGTTCTGCTTCACCATTGTCTCTGAACAGCTTGCTTCGACAACTGATGTTATCCTGTTGAACTGGCCGACTAAAAACAGCCACGAGGTTATGCTGGTCGATGCGAGCAAACGGATGCAAAGATTCGAGATCGGAGTGTTTTTTATGCCGTGGATGGAAGGAAATTTTCGATCTTTCTAAAAAGTTTGTCTTCTTTTGTTTGTCTTCTTTCGTTTCCATATAAACTGCACTATAATGGATGAAAGAAGGAAAAAGGGCGAACAGTAAAAACAACAGCATCATTTTTAAAATTATGCCACGCGTTTTCAGATGACGGTCTAAAGTCGAAGTGAAAAACCACTTTTGGAGTATCCTGCGTTGAACGACCCAGGGACTGACCCGAGTTAATTTTGGGCGACCGCAGACCTGCTATGCAGGCGTTTGAACAAAAGTGACGGGATCGCAGCTCCCAGCGATTCTACGGAATTCAGGCTCGTCGAGTGTTAGGTTGCTGCTTTGCTCCATGGACATTCAAACGGATGCAGCCTTCACATTTTTGTTTACTATTATACGAACAAATGCGTTCACTTCTACCGAAGCTTGAACAATTATATTAACCTAGCGCAACAGCATTCGCCACATCCCTTACAATAACCGAACGCGTTCTTGTCGCGTGAACCGGCGATTTTGTCAACAAGGCACAATACAATTTAGTTGCTTTTATTCCCTCTGCATTCTGAGCGTTAACGGCTGGTGCAAGTGTGTCGGTAAATATATGTCTTTACTACTGCTGCTACATATCTTTTTATCAGTTTACAACCGTTTTCGCGTACTAACGTTCGTGGCGTTGCCACTCCTATTTCTAGCGTACGCCCAGCGACCTCGCTGTGATTAAGACACTGTTTACTCGTTCGCCCATACGGATTTAGGCCAGCAGTGTGGGGTGGACCACACGAGCGTGGGGAGGGTTTGCAGCGCTGATGGTCGCTCATACACCGCCCACTGTGGTGAACGGAAATGTGTAGCCAGGCAGACCTAGCCATGCTTAAAGTCCTGACAAAGTTTGCTGCAGTGGACGCCCGGGCTCAGCGATTGCGAGATCCAGATTAATTCAATCACAGGAAAGGTTCAGACGGGGCCGGCTGTGACGGCGGGATACTGACAAAGACAAAGACAAAGACAAAGACAAAGACAAAGACAAAGACAAAGCGGGACACTGCAGAGGTCTACACATAGAGCTATCTGACCTTTGTGATCTGTGTGACCACAGCCAATTCTAGCTTAAGTTATGGATTATAGCAGTGGTTGAGGCGGTAGACTACGCCACACTTTGCACAAATACCAACAATGGCCAGCGGTGTACCAAGACGTTCGCCTACGAGGCACATCTTGCCAACGATTCTTGCTGCTTGTTTCCGGCGGTTCTGGAGAAGTGATCCATGAGAAATGCTTCATAGAGCAAGCGCGGAGTCTGGACCGGACACACGTGGGAATACAGTTGACGTAAACTTTCTAGACGCTTCTTTGTTCCAAAATGACTTGGAGGCTGTCATGCAAGAAGTTACTCTTACTTAAGTGAGTTAAGTCCGAAGTTAGTTAAGTTAGTTCACCCGGAGCATCGCTGCGCTGTAGATGAAAACTAGCGCCCATAGTCCCACCGTGCCATCGCTGGAAATCTTGATTTGCAGGAGAGGGTATACGCTCTTATCTGGCCTAAGGTATACAGAAAACGTCATAGGCTTAACACATTTTTAGGGGTATAGAGTGTGGTTAATAAAGGTAAGGACAGCGGGGGCAGTCCTCCCGCTCCCCATTCTCCGGAAAATGTAATCGCAATCTTACGTCAGTAATCTTGGAGGGGTTCGAATCACCCAAATCGCACGAGGATCTCCGGTCCTGTTGCTCATCTGAGGGCCAAACACGTTTCGTTGAAAAAATATCGCAATTTGCTTTTATTTCCAAAATGCATCTTGTAGATTTCTGTGCTGGAAGAACATCAAAGCCGACGTTAGAGGACTTCTCTCAAATCCCTTACATGTCTGAAAATGTGGAAGCAATCGACCCTTGTCTATATTTGCGCCAACGCCGTCAACACAATTTTGGACATGGATACATGCTGCCAGCAGCTCAGATCGACACATCATACAGGTCCTCACATTTCATCTCGCGTCATCGAAATGCATTACGGCACGTGCAAATGCCTCCTGCGAACGAAAGTTCGCGATTTATTTTAAAAAATCAGAGCGATGCCGAGACAAATATCGAGCAGCTTTTTGACGTTTCTTCTTGGAATGCCACTTCGAAAATGCTCCCAAATATGACATGTTACGGAGACAATGCGTTGGCGCAAGCGCCTTTCGCTAAGACGGCATTTAGCATTCGGAGCATAATAGGCAAGTGTACCCGGAGATAATTCACCAGATATCATACCACACGAGAGCTTGCCGCAGACCAAACGCTCACGCTTGATTCCACGACGGACTGACATCTAAAATGCGCACATAATTTAAAGCACATTATGAAAGCTTGGTGCTTCGCGGTGAGACCGGGGAAGCCGGTTTGCCGTTTTCCATACAAACGCCACCGGGATGGCTTGCTACACATATACATCAATACAGCCCTAACTCACAGCGTCGTCCTAGCGCAGAAGGTGGGAGGACATTAGACATCGTGGGGCACACGCGAAACAGCCAGCCAATTCTGAGTGTCAGTGGCACTGGGACCGTGGCATTTTCGCAAAAGGAGCATACAGTGAAATGCACCACAAAGTGCGTTACAAGCACACGAACATCCGAGACAGGATTGATGTGCACGACACCACTACGTTCACGTTGAACTATTACCACACCCAAAATTGAGTCTTGACAATGTACTTCGCACTAGCACGTTTTAACATAAAACGCATATTCCAGCAGCCGGACGCGGGACCTCCACGTCCCAGCTTGTCCTTATGTCCCCAACAAGAATGTTTCGGGACGCTTCTCTGTACTTCTAGCTCATCACTCCCCCGCCGCGCCCGTCCGGGCCCTCACTGGTTCCCCTCTACGAGAAGAGGCTCTTCGCCATCAGCTGGTTCCCTCTACAGGGAGAGGCTCTTCGCCAGCAGCTGGTTCCCTCTACAGGGAAGGCCTCTTCGACAGTAGGTGGTCGTACTTGGAGAAAGCCTCGTCAATGTCCACATAGCAGCCGTGCAGGTGCCTGCCGAAGCGCACACACACACATACGGTCACAGTGACAGTAAGCACAAGCAGAGCGGACCGAACCAAGCCACTCACGACACCCGGGAGTGCACCACGTCACAGTCCGACGACCACACTGACAACTACAACAGGACCGTTCCACGTTTCCGACGGCAGTTCCACGAGGGATCGATCCACGTAACAATCCACTGCCGCACAGAGGGCCGTTCTGCGTTACAGTTGACAGTTGCACAGAGCTGTGACACTTCGCGTCACAGCTGACAGCCACACGGAGGATCTTCCTGCGTCACAGACGACAGCTACACACTGCTAACCTAGCGTGGGCGAAGCTGTCAACCCGACCCAATTCACCGCGCGTAACGTCTTACCATTCCAAAGTCATCCACTGCGCCTGCTGAGCCCATGACACTCCAGCTGCCACTCTGACTTCGGTGCTCCTAAAGCGAGCCTGGCCCTCTCACAACGGGACCAAATACAGTCCAAGTACGGCCATACTAACTGGGCAGCCTGGCCTGACAGCTGACGAGCTTCCTCCACCCTGCCCCCCCCCCCCTCTTCACCAGTCTCACGACATCCATATCTGCCTGCTGATGCCCTCGTGACCTCCCAGCGGCCGGCCGTGTCAACGGCGGCTGCCCCGAGCCGTCCGCCCGACCACACGCACCTGACCACGCGGGATGGGTCGAACCCGGTCCTGCCGTGCAGCACGCGCCGGTTGTTGAAGGCCACCAAGTCGCCCGGTTTCAGATGGAACGCCAGCTGCTGGCTCTCCTCGCGCATACGCTGCGAGAAGAGCTTGTAGGCGTGGTAGAACGGCACCACCACGTGGTCCGGGGCCTGTCGGCGTTTTGGAGGACTGAGGTGCTGTGGCCGCCTTCAGCGCGGTGGATGGCAGGCGGTGTGATACGGTCGGTTCAGACAGCAGCGATGTGAGAAGGATGACTTTGGAAACTAACACGAACTTATCCGTGTGTCTGTGTGTGTGTGTACGTGTGTTGTGTCGGTAACGCCAGGAGCAAGCTGCGCATCTGGGAAACCAGAGGAACAGGGTTCGATTTCTCGCGGTGCCTGCCATTCTTGCAAGTGTGCGAGGCTGGCGAGGCGGTCAAGTTCCAGCAGCTGAGTTGGCCGTAAAGCCCCAGTCAACTCCAGGAGCGATGTTCCATGTTGGCATCCACATTGTGAAGTCTATCATTTGTGAAGCGCGCGGCGCACGTACGCTGCGACATGAACCGATCCCTGACGCACCCACACCAAGCAGTCCACAACATCCCTCGGGACCGACAGCCTTCTGTACTGCTTAGTCCTATTCGCCGCCGCCTTTCGCACGATAAACACACAATCTGAGCGTAACGGCGCAGCGCGCAGTATTCTAGCACGCACTCGTACCAGCGCGACCTGCCGAACTGCGCATGCGGAGACAGTCCGCCCCGTCAACAAGCAGATCGCGACGCTCATTCTCGGCGAGTTGACACAACCCACGGACAACGCGGAGGCCAGGGCGGTAATTGGAGCGAACTTCGGCGAACACGTGACTTCCAGTACAGCCCACGCTGCGCCCCGCGCGTCTGGCGCCATGCTTATTTGCCTGACGACCGACCCAGCCCTGGCCATCGGCCGCCAGCTGCGACAGCGCAGGGGGTGGGGGCAAGGTCCGGTGGCTGGCGACGGCTGCGCCCCCCCCCCCCCCTTCCCCTGACGCAGACCAGCCCTGCAGGCGTGCCGGCCAGCGGGTTAACATTAACAACGGCTCCAGCCGGCGACCGGGCCACGCCCTCCCGCAGCGGGCCCCCGGCTGCAACTTCGCGTACCCTCCGGAGCAGGCCGATGGCTGTGCTTTTGTGTGTTCTCCTACAGTGCGCCACCGGCAGATGCCCTGTGCGCCCTCCTACAACACCTACACCACACCACCGGCAGCATCACTGCGCGCCCTCTTGCAGCAGACAGATGGTAGCGGCTTCGTGAGGACTCTAGCACGCCAACGGGCAGTGGTCTCGTGCGTGGGGGAGGGCGTGGGGGGGGGGGGGGTAGTAGAAAAGGCAGGAATGGTTTAAGAAACATGCAGCACATATAAAGCGACACGGTGCTTTTCTTTAGCGCGAAAAGGGAATGAGAAATGGATGTCTGATATAGCCCAGACGTGCCGGCACCTAAGGACACGCTGATTTGTGTTTATGAAATGTAACGGTTCTTTTTCCGTATGCCGCTGGAAAACTGAAGCTTTGCACTCCAAACAAATCCAGTAAAAACGTTTGGGCGCGCGACAAAGAACACGACGTCCAGACCCCGTGCAAGGCCAGTGAACAAAGCACAACCCTTATCACGCTCGAACGAGGTTACCGCCGTCCACTAGGCCTCATCGGCCTTACTGGCGCCGCTCCGTCACCGCCTGTCGCCAGGGGCGTGCGCACATGGTAGCCGCCGGAGTCACGTGCCCACCCATCAGTCACGTGCCCACAATTTATGACACGCGTTAAAATGCATGTGACTTTACGTCGACGGTTAGAAGTTCGAGGTAGCACGTACAGGTGAGAAGACGGTGAACACGAGAAGCTATTCTAAGAAACGCAAGACACTGCGTGCGCCTCCGTCGCGCTAAACTTAGTATTTCAGTAAAAACACTTCAGCTGCGCCCCCCCCCCCCCCCACACACACTTTCAACTCCTCCGTGCGTCCCTGCCTGTCACCAACGGTCTGCCATGGCTTGTCACCGACGGTCTGCCACGGCGTGTCACCGACCTGCAGTGGTCCCATCGTGCGGTTGTTGTAGTGTATCTCCTGGACGTCCCCCTCCGGGTTCGTCACGATGATGGGCCACATGTTGCTGTAGCGCATCTCCTTGTTCTTGATAGAGAAGCGGATGGGTGTGGAGGTGAGGATGTGGTAGGCCGACGGCTCGTTCTCCTCCATCCACTTGGCCACGCGGAACCCGTCGACGAAGAAGGACTGGCCGCCGGGGTCGCGTCCCAGCTTGTCCGGATGCTCCGCCTGTGGACAGCGGCGGAGGGTCAGCAGGGCGGCGCCGAGAACACCACGGACCATGGACCGTTTGCATTACCTGTATCCTTCCTGCGGTCCCCATGCCATTCATAGCCGTCGCTCCGTACAGCGGCGGAGTGTCAGCAGGGCGGCGCCGAGAACACCACGGACCTCGGACCGTTTGCATCACTGTATTCTTCCTGCAGTACCCTGCCATTCATAGCCATCTCCCTGTACGGTGGCTCACTATAAAGGTGTTAAATAGCACTCGTGACATGTTTGCTCGCACTTGTATAGCAGTCACGGGGGCGACGGCGAAAACCGCTGCCACCAAACGGCTGGTACGTCATCCACAGGAATGCGAACGTCTTTCGGACTATCTGAGCATGTCAGTGTTGGATCCCTTGACGTCTGTGCAGTCTGCGCGGTATAAGACCTTGTAAGTTACGCAGGTCTCCTTCACATATGGCAGCATTCAGGAGGTCTGATGGAGCAAACCCCTTGGCGAAGTCAAACAGTACCTTGACGGTGTCAGCCACTGACAGCGTACGGAACAAACATCAACACCAACCATCACTTGATCCAGAGTGACTCTGTACCCATTCCTCCACAAATTATCGCATACTAAATACACCTGCGCCTTGGTACCCGGTGCGCTCGCAGCACAGAAGGCGCTCTGTGCTGCCACGGGAGGGCAGCGTACCTGCAGACAGTGGAGCAGCTGCATGCCGGGCGAGTTCTCGCGGTAGTTCATGTCGGTGTGCAGCTGCAGGTACAGCCCGGTGGAGAACAGGTGGACACCTGGCGTCGGGTCCATGCGCACGCTCCATGTGGCACCGTACTGCGTTTCCTTGATGTAGGCGAAGCGGTCCACCACGCGCTTTAGCTGTTCCTGGAGAGGACCAGGGGGCGGGCGTGTTGGTGACACAGGTTGTGATGTGCGGGGCGCTTGGGAACTCCAGTGTAAGGTTCCTTTGAATAAAAGGGTTTAAATCTAAGCACTCCTCCCTTGTATGCCCATCTTAGCTGGCAAACCCTCGAGACCTGTCCGTTCTCAACTACGCACATGTGCTCGTAGTTCGCTAAACAAGACAAAATGGCGTCTTCTGCCGCTCGGCCACGATCAAACCCGTCGTCCCCTTAACAGCGTGCACTCACTCTGTCAGCGTGCACTCACTTTGCAAGCGGACACTCACTCCGCCAGCGCGCACTCACTCTGTTGACGCGCACTCACTCTGTCAGCGCGCACTCACTCTGTCAGTGGGCACTCACTCTGCCAGCGTGCACTCACTCTGTCGACGTGCACTCACTCTGTCAGCGTGCACTCACTCTGTCGGCGTGCACTCACACCGTCAGCGTGCATTCACTCTGTCAGCGTGCACTCACTCTGTCAGTGGGCACTCACCCTGTCAGTGGGCACTCCGCGCAGCATGGCGAATCCGTACTTGTAGAACATGTCCAGCCACTCGAACATAGCGTTGTCCGACTCGACGAACTCCTCGAACTCGACCTCGGGCAGCCGCTTCTGGATGATGTAGCGGTTCCAGAGCGTGAGCGGCGGCCGGGGCCGTACCCCGTCCTCCTCCAGCACCGATGGCGCGTTGAACGTGTCGTGCATGAAGCACTGTCCGTACCGGTACAGCCTGTGCGGCCAGAAGAGGCTCAGTGTTAGACGCTGGGTAGACGTGTCGCCTTGGGAAGGCTGTGCGGCAAATGAGAGAGCCAGGGAAAGGTGCGAGATGCGGTATGTGGGAGACGGCGGCATGATGACTTGCACAAATGATGACATGGCACAGGCGCTGGCTTTGCAGATACGGGGGCGCAGCAGTCACGCGACGCCAGGCCGTGGACCCCGGCACGTCACCGCCGCGTCAAGGACGCATGGCAACACGGCCTGCGGTGGCCAGCTGACCTCCTGCACCCGGCGACCAGCGCCGACCAAGCTAGCGGGAGGAAGGGCGCCGCCATCGGTCGCGTTGACCTCGACGCCCCCTCCCGCCCCGAGCGCCGACGGCGTCGACGGAGGCTGACCGGAGAGTGCACCGCCAGGGTGCCGCGCTGTACTGGCGCTCTGATGTCCGCTGGTGTGTGTGTGATTAGGAGCATCTTCCGGCTGACTGAACGCGCCTACGCATGATGATGGATTCCATTTTCCCACCATTTGTATCGGAGCGCGTGACCAAAGTTGACAGCAGCACCACCACCTCGCCGCATGGTCTACGCACCACGAGTTGTCGAAGTGGGAGACGTGCTCGCCGTCCCGGGAACTCCACGTGATGACCAGCTGGTTGTTCTCGTCGATCTGCAGCGCCTTGGGCTTGATCTTCGAGTCGATCGAAGGCGTGTCCAGCAGCTTTTGGCGCGTGTCCACATCCACGCAGGACGGGCACTTGCAGTTGTCTCTCAGCTGAAAAGAGCACATGCCAACGTGACATCATTACAATAATTTTAGTGCACATGCCTGGACATCAGACACGCCCAGCTTCATTCACCAGAGGGACTCCCGGTCTATACAAATGGAACTAAAACACAAATAAACATTTTGGGTTTCTCCGGACAACTGTTTCCGAGAGAACCAAAGCTATAAACATGACGCTCAGATGCGATAACACATCTTGTTTAGCATAGGTGCATTACGGCATGCTTTGAAAGGAGGACTGCATCATCAGGGTGCGGTTTCCAGCATAACTGGTGGGCGTAACAGCCCCTCGTCTCAGCCTGACCGACCAAAGGGCGGGGGGGGGGGGGGAGAGGAGAGGGTGGTGGAACAGGCAGGCTGCTGTTGCTGGGCCTCTCACACCACCATGCCACCAGACCCTCAAAATTTGAGTGAAGGTACGCAAGTTTCATGAAGATTTCCAGGTTTTGGTGGAGATTAGTAGGATTCCGCTAGCTGAGCCCCCCCCCCCCTCCGCCCACAATGGGTTTAGCGAAACAACGACTCCGATAGTCGAGTTTTGCTACTCAGAGTTGCGCAGGACTCGCCTTACGTTTCATAATGGCGGCAACGTAAATTCATGCACCTTTTCAACTTTTGAACAGAATTTAAAGGAAATGTTTGAAGATATTGAAGATATTGAAGGAAGCATCAGATATGATGAAACAAGCTGACTTGCAACCATCGGTGTGTTTTTTAAGTGGAAAATGCTGCACGAGACAGCACAATTCTGAATTTAGTAAATATGCTCCTCAATGCATCATGGCGTAATTACGTCATCGTGCCATGCACAAGATTGATTGAAAGTTCAGTGACGGCCGTTATGTCTCAAAATCGCGCTTACGAACGCCAGATATGAATGCCTCTTGGCCTCGATCGCCGCACGGCTGATGAAATGGCAGGGTTTAATCCAGCGTTATTGTAACGTCATGACCGCCAAAGTGACTTTGAAATATTCTCCCAGATATAACTTTCCTCATCTTCGCGGCCGTGTAGCTCAGAAGTCAGAAAGGCTGAGGCCTTAAAAGGACAGGACTTTGAGCAGCACCGAAAGGTCCTCAGGATGACTGTTGTGATTCAAAACCCCATGTAAACGCGGAACACCTCCTCTAACAATGCCAATGAATATTTCGTTAAAAATCAGGATTAGACAAAACGCAGGCACTTGATACACCTTCCCGAAACCACCCTAATCAGCTAAACCACCCTAATTTCTAACCTATCTCAGGCTCCAACCTGCCTTTCCGCTCCAAACCCCATATTGCAGGGCGAAAAGTTGTTAAAGGTTTTGCAAAAGTGAAAGGTGAGATGGAGTGCCGGTTGGGTCCCCAAGACGACCGGGGATGGCCGATACTGGCCAGATGCTGCTCCCCCCGCCATGGCGGGGCGCTTGGTCCAGCGCCCAATCAGGACGTAACGCGCCGTAGCAATGAGGTCTCCAGGATTGTCTCTTCACGTCCGTATGCATGCCTTATTGAAAGTGTTGTAACTGGGAGCTGGCGTTTGACAGGCTCACGCACTTACAATGGTACCGACCAGCAGTGCGCTGGCGCAGAATCATACCACAAAAAGCGTGGGCCGGACCTCATCATGACGTTCTTTCCTCACTTGTATCATCTTATGGTAAACGTTACCATTCACGAGAAGCGGCTAGCTCATGACCCACCCAACACTAGTAATCTCTCTTCTTAAAGCATCGCAGCGCCTTTTTAAGTGTCTGACGCGGAGCGCTGAAGAAGCGATCGAACGCTGAACTCATCAAACTAAAGAAGGGATTGTTCCATATTTGTATAGGGGTTTGAGCTGAAATTGTCATCCTGAAGATCATTCCGTGCAGTTCACAGCCCTGTCCTTCTTAAGACCTGAACACTTCTAGTTTCTGAGCTAACGGCACGCGAAGATGTACAGACTATTTCAGGGATATTTTTCAAGGCCACCCAGACATCTATAGCGCCATAATAAGTCATTCCAATCCTGTCATTCCATGGGCCGTGCGGCGATCAAGGCCAATAAAGTTGTAATTGTCGAGTCATTAATATGTGGCGTTCCTGAGCACGATTTCCAGATACAACGGCGGCCAATGGGCTTTCAATACATGTTGTGCCAGGTAAGATGACGTAATTAAACATTGACGCATTGAGGAGCTTAATTACTGAACAGAGAAGTTGCGTTGTCTAGATCAGTCTTTTCCACTTAGAAGTATACCAATAGTTAAAAGTGGGCTTGTTTCATCGTATCTGACAATGATAATGAAAAGAAGCAAGTCTTAAGCCAGTCAATAAATCAATAAATGGGACCGAGGCTATACCCTCGCCATCACCGGCCATCCCCCCCCCTCCCAGCCCGCCACCAGTCAAAAGTTAAGTAATAAAAAGACGGGTCAGTTCCTACGGCCGTGTATCGACGGATACAGGGCACCCAAAGAACGGCAGCGTCACCTCATGGTTAGCGCCAGCCCAGTCCCTCTTGTGACCCATTACTTTGGAGCGATGCAGCGGGTGTGTCGGGAGATCGGACTCGGTAAACAAGCCGGAGGCTCTGCCACCAAACTGGGCCAGAGTGCTGACGTGTGTATGGGGACAGCTTGCTTTCAAGGGCCATGACCAGAAACAATAGACTTGCTGACGCGGCATCCAGCAGACGACATGGAACGGGCCCCGGAGGGGCGTGGGCCCGGTGGCACCACGTCAGCCCACCTATCTAGACATATTCAACCTACCCAGATGTATTTGAACTCTGCCGTCTTGTTATCCTCGAAGATGACCTTTGCAGTCTGGTGGCACGCCGGTACGGCCGATACGATGCGTGGGATGTCCTTGAGGTAGACGCTGCCGGCCAGCGAGCTCTTGGCTGCAACAGAGCAGTTCGGTGTGCCGCAGGTGCGGTCGGTTCACGCTAGGTACAGTCGAGGCCAAAGAGCGCAGCATTCTACAGCAAGCGCGCAGTGTGTACATGATAACAGTGACAATTGTCACAGAAGCCAGGTTGGTCGCATTTCCAAAGACGCATGCAAGGCCTGAAAGCCTTGCGGAGGCAACTCTGGTGGAATCAAACATTTACAGAGGCCGACCGGCACGCACGCGCCCATCGGTGCACTGGAAACACTCCTACCCAGGCCAGACACGTGGTGAGCACGTGACTCGAGCCGCAGGCACTGACCTCGAATATGTGGCTGGAGAAGCCGGGCAGTTGCACCGCCAGTTGGCACGCTCCGGCTAAGGCGACAGCCGGCAGAAACGGCGGCCACCACAGCAGACTTCCATGACGCCATTTTGAGTCTGGGGAAAACACATATTCAAACTTGCGGAATAAATTACGTTTTATTCCATCGATCGTTATGCTATCGTTCCCCTTATTAATAAGATGAACAATACAGCTTTCTGGGATGGCGATGAACATCTACTCCAGGAAGTGCCGGCATGGAATGCATATACAGGCGATCGTGTGTCCCGATCACCCACTATTGCTGCGCGGCACAAGCTGCCCGAATAAGATGGACTGAGGGTGCTGCAGAGCAAAGTGACAGAAACGAGACACCCTGGTTACTGGTAACACACGGGCAATGTGTTTCAACCATTTCTTTTTTGCAGGGAGTGTGTTTTTCAGAATGAGCAAAGTGCCGAAACGGTTGTTTCAGCGAGGGGACATCCGCACCTCATTGCCACGTCCCGCGCCTGAGGACGCAGCCTGTGCGCCTGCTACGTCGACAAGTATGTGCAGATCGCTGTACTGTATCAAGGCGCTACATTGCCTTCCCGCCACAGATGCCCCACAGAGGTCAACGGACTGGACCATGGTCTGTGTTGCATTACACGACCATTCCCTGCATCGATGACGGATGACACGGTATCAGATGCGGCGCAGATAAGGCAAAACTGCGCCACTGCCGCACCGGCGGCTCAGATGTCGCTTATTGGGCCTCGATTGCGAGAATCTGCGTCATGTGTCGCCGGATTAAAAAAAGTTAATTTGTTTTCGATCGTATAACATTGCGACGCATGCAGCTGCATGAACAAGTCATGGGATATCACTGTCTTAAACCATATGCCCAAGCGCGAGAACAGCACCGTGCAGCGGCTGATGAGGCGTATTGCCGATCACGTCCTATTACAACGCTCAATCCGAAAACAATTCCCCAACTGAATCAAGAAAGAAAACCGTTGTGCTTGTGCTTGTGCTGAGGCACAGAACCCCAGACATGTCCGGGAAGTCACTTGAAAATCGGCGACATGTTGGAATTTGTCAGCGCTTCGACTGCGGGAGGTCATGCAGAGCACTGGCAGGTGAAAAGGCAAGCCATTCAATATATGTGTCGCTGTGTGAGCAGCCTTGCGAAGAGATTGAGCCAACCAAACGTGTTTACTTATATTTTCCTATAGAGGAGACAACATTGCCCTTAAAGGCAAGACATAAACGCCAGCAAATATCCAGCTGAACTATTGCTTGTTTTGATCTTTCCCTCGTCTGTAACTTCATAGATCACAACGCTGCCATAATGCAGCATCACCATCACGTTTGTGCCTCCCACAGGATGCATGCTAAGGACAAAACCTTACGGATTGATAACAACGCAAAGGCAAAACGCTAGCATTAACAGAAATGAAACCATCCTAAATGAAACAGGTGGGCGTGACGCAAATATTTTACATTTAGCTGACACAACATTTTTTCGCAGGACATTTCGAGAATCTCGAAACCTCACGCAGGCTTACCATCGCCTGACTTGCAGCGCATCACTTGGCCCGTGAGCTCCCGCACGAAACGCGCAGGGAGGGGGACGGAGGGGAGCCGCCGTGGAAAACTACCGGCTCGGCGCGGCCCATGACGTCACGTGTTATTGACCAGACACCTGCCCCTCCCTCTTCGGTGTCGCAGCCGTCTGAGCGCCGGGCCATCGATCAGCTGGCTCTGGACCGGGCCGCTGTGGCGAGCTCGAGGTGCCGGTCGAGGGGACCGGGGCGCTGAGGCCAGCTCGAGGTGCTGATCAAGGGGACCGGGGCGCTGAGGTCAGCTCGAGGTGCCAGTCGAGGGGACCGGGGCACCGTGTCCAGCTCGAGGTGCCGGTCGAGGGGACCGGGACACTGTGTCCAGCTCGAGGCACCAGTCGAGGGGACCGGGACACCGTGTCCAGCTCGAAACACCAGTCGAAGGGACCGGAGAGCTAGGGCGAGTTTGAAGTGCCAGTCAAGGGGACCGGGGCACTGTGTCCAGCTCGAGACACCAGTCGAAGGGACCGGGGCGCTGAGGCCAGCTCGAGGCGCCAGTCGAGAGGACCGGGGCACTGTGTCCAGCTCGAGACACCAGTCGAAGGGACCGGGGCACTGAGGCCAGCTCGAGGTGCCGGTCGAGGGGATCGGGGCCGTCACAGGCCCCGTCCGGACGCCGAGGGTTCCACGGTGTAGTGATGTGCTGAGAGGCTCTGTCACGCAATGAACACGCATAGCGCGGAATCAGTGATACATGTTTGTTGGCTGTGGACTAGGTCTGCAATGTGTTGCGCGACACGTGCCATCGCTGCGAATAGCTGGACGTTCAGAGCTCATCAATGGCGGTGCCGGACATGGGACTGAGTTCGGACTTATGAACTGTCCGAGATCGGTGATGGAAATTAACTCCTCCCACAGCCGAATGGGACTCAGTCTCACCAACATGAAGAAGAAAAGTCGGTCAAGTCGGCAAGAACTACAATTTCATTAATACCTTTACCCGAACGAAGATCAACTGCATATATACATATATATATATATATATATATATATATATATATATATATATACACACACACATATATATATATATATATATATATATATATATATATATATATATATATATAAGAATCGTCTATGAGTCAATTACAACCGAAACATGTTAACAACAACCATTACATTTTTGGTGGCGTTGGATGTGTTACAAATGGATCCCTGCTGTCGGTATCACTCTCGTTGTTCTGTTTCCTTTGGGGGCAGACTTCGGGGCTTCGCCCCATGGCATCGAACTTTTGAAGCTAACCATAACAAAACGTGACGGATTTTGATGTAAGTACGGCTAACATCGGACATGTCATACAAAATTCGTCAAAACCTATGATGCAATCGTCGAAGCGAGCTGAACAGAAACCATGGTGGTGCGTGTTGTGGCGTTACAGAGCTCTCGCACTGGACGAATATCTGCAGAATTTAGCAGGTCACGTTATTTAGATTCGGGTACGGATCTGACATGGGCTACCACAATGTTCTGTGCATAATCCAAACAATTGATATGCTACCGCAGATGTAATGCGTGTATTAATGTGCTCCAATGGCTATGATGTTATGCTCAGCCAAAATGTGCGCGGCTTAGACTTTTCAAAATCGGTCTCGTCGCACTCCGCATTTTTGACGCTTTTCTTATTCGGTCAAATCCACCCCGTAATCCATGGGTTTATCCAAGTCGGGACAGGTCCCGTTAGCCATTCGGTGAAATTGCTGGGCGATGTGCAGTGTCACCAACATCACCATAGTCGATGCGCGTCCGTTATCACAGGACCGTTCTCCCGTCGGTGGGATGCATTCCCTGGAGCCTCCAGGCTTGCTGACAACCGCGCTGCCGCAGGTAGCCAATGGATCAGCAGTTCAGCTCTCCCTTGTCAATAAGAAGCTTTGAATTCAACGCTTCAACGCCGTGAACTATAATACCCTGTCATGTCACAGGGCTGCCACTCTCTCCGCTTTTTATCTAGTTCGATTCGACCCGGTTTGGTTCAATATAGTCCGCCTTTTTGGTATACGTCTATCTCAGTCGAATCGCCAAATCGCATGACGGTCTATGGAAAATTTTTGTAATCCGCTTTGACCTATTTCTATAAAATTCGCGACCGGGCGTACTGAGGCGAATTCTTTACGGCAATGCAATCGGGCTCAATCTAAAACATCATCCCTCAATACTCAGCTCGATGGGTTTGATGAAGACAATGCTGTCTTATGACCAGCATCTCGGCGTCTCGGACGCGCAGCGAGTGAGCCGCAAAACAACATGCAGAATCCATAACACGCTTGAGATCACTGACACCGGAAATGCTTCACTGATCTGTAGCAACAATTTCATTGCCACCGCCAACCGTGATTTCACAAATATCATCCAAATAGCTGACACAAAATCTACGAACACAAGTTTAAGTGACGCTTTACCGAGTTGTGGGCAATAAGCGCGACGTTGGTACTCCAGCCAGGGGATTATAATTACAGCAATAGATATGAGACAAAATGCGGCGAGAAATATGACAGTGAAATATCACGATGTTGCGTGTTGTCGCACCGAGACTCACCTTTAGGGAGCAGGTTATTCCGCAGTTCACCAGCGATTAACGTCACGCATTGTTGCGCAGTTAACATTGGTATGCATAATTGACTTGAATCCAGATAACACAATTGCTACATAAACGTCTTCAAGATGAGGAATTGAGTCAGCCAAAGGCTTTTGGCCAGGTCAATCTGGGCCGGCATGCGTAACTCGATCAAACAGTCAGTAGTCAAAATTTTTTAGGGCTTTTCTGTGGTCTGTTGTAGGCGTATTTCGTCAGGTGTCGCAACCAGAATGACTGCCACCGGAATCGATTGTGAATTTGAGCAATGCCACCGGGTCGGAATCGATTCAAAATCAGATTCGACCAGACCGGGCGCTGCCACCGACCACGGCTGTTGGCAACAGCTGCCCATGGCCAGGCTGGGTCGAACGGCGGGGCGGACCGTGCCGAACATTCTGGTGCATTCAACTTTCGCCACAAGATCCAGCCGGTGGGTTGTAATTGAGCGATCGGGTGGTGAGATTCGGGCTAGGGAAAAACATTGCTTAGAGTGAGCTATGCACCAGAAATTCACTCAAGACAACAAAAAATCGGAATGAATTTATACCATGCGACAGTTTGTACCGTGCCACCTGCATTCGGTAAAGGCCAAGTTAGGACCAAAAAGTTAGAACCAAGCAGAGACCAAGTGGAGCGCAATCCAGTTCAAGCCTGCCTCGAAACTAGAACCAAAGTGCCGTCAAAACGAGTGGATTCAGACAAAACGTCAAGTTGGCGCCCACGGACCCGAACTCGCGCTGCGTGCATAGGCTGCTCTCAGAATTTGACTCAGTCGCGAGACATCAAGATTCGGACCCTGACTCCGACTCAAGACCTTAGCCAGGTCGACGGAGTGGTCACTCACGTGTAATTGGTTCCCCATTCAAAAACACAACAGAAGTCTCGGCTCGATGCAGTCGGGGTTACTTTACACCTGTTGCCAACTCTGAGGCATGGGGCGTTCGCTTGTCGGCGGAGCATCGGCTTTGCTACGCTGAGGCTACCAACAACCCCGCTTGGTCACCTCCCCGTATGAGCTACCACCATTGTGGCCGGGTTACGTAGTAATGTCAGAGAAACCGCGCTCTCTCTGCTTTCCGGCACGCTAAACCGTCCACATGGAACGCGCGCGGCCAAAAACACAACGTGGTCATCCCACGGGCGCTGCTGCGTCGTCACGGCCCGCCCTTTGTTGGAGTCGACATGGACCAGTGTCATCTCGTTGCCACAGAGAATGTGCACCAGCGGCAGACCTCGACACGTACCTGGGCACGCAGCAGCGCAGTGCAGTTACCGTACTGTCCCACCTCCGGCGGATAGCTCACCAGCACTGGCCCCGCTCAACACCGGCGAACATTTGGCCTCTGACCGGGGGAGGGGCTGCGACCCCGCGCATGCGCGCAGCGCCACCTGTGGGATGAGTTATGCCAAACGGCCAGTTCATGCTGCTGGCGGGTTAAGTGCGCGTGCGCCGATGGGGTTCGATCGCAGATGCTCGTTCATGGCTGACGCGCAGAGCATTCAGACGATGTGAACGCTCTATTGTTGAATGGGAATCCTGCTTTCATGATTTAGCGCTGTCCCGAGTTCCTGTTGAAGCAGTTCCTGTAGTTCCTGTTCCTGTAGTGTCTGCTCCGTTGTTTCTTCGGGATGAACTTCAAAACTTAAGGTCGATCGCAGCGAATTTGCAGAGTATAGCATAGCAGAGTGTTACGGTTCCTGACGGTGGGCCACTCAAACTCTGACGGGGGCTTGATTTGCAGAGGATAGCATAGCAGTGGTATGGTTCCTGACGGTAGGCCACTCAAACTCCGATTGGGGCTTGATTTGCAGAGGATAGCATAGCAGTGTTATGGTTCCTGACGGTAGGCCACTCAAACTCCAATGGGGGCTTCAACTTTTTCTGCAGATCGTAGTGCATTCTTTCGACGAACCAAAAGCTATCGCTGAGCTCAGAGGTGTACGCACATAGCAACCCTCGGAGCATGTGGAAAACTTGAAGCATGTATTAAGGTGCACGTCGTTAAAAGCTGACAGTTAAGAAATTATAGGAAGCTACGTAAAAGTAAGAAAATCGAGGGTAAACGGCGTTGTTTTAGGATACGTCAGAAACTGTGCGCGCATGCACTGCGCTAAATTTGGTTTTCATTGAAAGTTCTCGTGTTGTACCCCTCCCACCCCATTGTGAGATCCTCCGTACGCCCCTAGCTGGGTGGGCCTGAGCTCCAACCACTGCCGGCACTGTTGCAACCTTGGCACAGCAAGCATTACGCCCAACAGGAGAGAGTCTTGCTGCGATGCCAAACCACAAAATTCTTTAAATCGTTGGCATGCTCTTCTCTTACATGCCCTCTACAAAGTGGACACGTGCCTTATGCCGGATATTTTTTCCATGAACTAGTTCCTGGTTACTATGGAGGAAAATCCAACAAGGAGTCAAATTCAGCCTGGAACTGCCAAAACGGTCCAGCAAAAACCAGGATCCACTTCAACAAGCAGTGTGTATCTACAACGAGCGCTTATATCGAGCGCATTACACGATTAAACATCATATAACATTTGAGGGATGCCTTTTTTTAAACGACATCCTTTTTTGATAGATCATGGTCAAATGGTAACCTAAGCTGGTGTTTACGAATGAGCCCATCAGAGACAGGCGTGGGGATCTGGCATTAAAGAGTAAACCAATGGGAATTGGAAGCCAGGATCTGGTGTTTGGCAGCAGCCACTAGGAACCAGGAACCAAGCTCTACTCTTTGTTAAGCAATCAGTGAGAAACAGGGCCTGCTGTTGATAGAATAACCAGTGGGAGCCAGGAAACTGAATCTTGTATTTGTGGAAGATCAGTGGGAACCAGAAACCAGAGTAAGGTGCCGGCAAAGGAACCAATGGGAGCCAAGGACCCGTATTTTGTGCCCGCAAAATAACCGGTGGGAACAAAGAGCCAGAGTCTGGTGATCGCAAAATGATAAGTGAGATCTTGGAACAAGGGGCTGGTTCATAAAATAACCAGCAGGAGCTATGTTTCAGGGTTCTTTCATGGGGAGAGTTGGGAACCAGGAGTCACCAACGGTAACTACCCACTTAGCTGGACTAGCGAGTATTTGACTGACCCTCGAAACTTATGTTCGTTGCACATAGACGTGCACCTACCAAAACTAGGACACCACACCAGCATAAAGATGGCGTTCGTTCACACTGCCAGCTTAAAATCATATCGGTTCAGGGGACGAATGTAGCCATAAAGTGCAAACGATTAGGGCCACAAAAAGTTTAGTACATCAACTCAAAAGCTTTGAGCTACGAGTCTGACGTAGGTCAGCCTGGGCTTACCTCGTCCCCCCCCCCCCACAACCAAACATATGTGGCGCTGCCGGTGTGCATGTGGAATCACAGACGTCTGACACTGTCGCAGAAGTGAAAAAGCTTCTGATGTACTGGATATGATCGGTGACAAAAACTTACACTTTTTCGAACCAGTTGGCAACGAAACTGCAAGGATGAAAACAAATTTCAACAGACAAGACCATATTGCAACAGATTATCTCAGCTCCACGAAACGCAAAGCGTGCTACGGTCTGTACTCTCCAACGCTTGCAGCGTGAGCACATGTCGAAATGCCGACGTTTCGCTGCATGGGCGAGTTGAGCCATAAAATGCTGCCAAACATAGTAGCTTTAATCAGAATAGATCCTAGCAGGCGACAGAAGCATACTACAAACTACACTATATCAGTGCTGACGTCACAGATCAGTAGTGATACAGTGGTTTTTCAATGCCGCTCAGATCAGTGCTTTTCACAGATTTTTTGGCCAAGATTCACTTCACATGCTTAACGGTATAAGATGCCATATAACTGGGCCTATAACTAGTGGTAAGAATCGTTGCTTGCCACGGCATCTTGCAATGAACGTGATGAGCTTGCTACGCAGCGTTTTAATGCGCAGTGTCATTTGAGACAGATGGACTTGATTGCTTCCCACGCGGAAACGTGTTGGGTTTGGTGCAAGGTTGCGGGCTGCAATGGTTGTGTTCATGTCGTGAGGAGCTGGCTGGGAGGACGTAGCTAATCAACATTTTTTAAAGGAAATAGCGTTAAAAAGCCCTGCCGATCCAGGGTTGTTGTTTGTGAATATCTGAGCTGTAGCTTCAGAGTTAAACGGAGGCCGTTGGAGCGACACATGTCAAGGATTCATCCGAGGTTCCTGCTACTGAGAGGAGCAGCGGGTTTAAGGCAGAAGCCCGAGCATCGCTGACGTAGGCCTCTCACATTGCCCATTGCACCTCAGGCTTAGCGCGGTGATCAGTGGGCATGCATAAAATAAATCAGTTCTAGTTGTCATCATATTGCATCTAGGTAATGCTAAGGGTGTTAAAAAACGTCGTTTGCTTCTGTTAAAGCCACTACCGTATGGGTTTTGTTCTACATAATTGGGACCATGTTGGGAAGTGCGAACTCCGCACCGGCAATGATTTTGCCAAGTTAATGAAGTTCGTCAGCGCTTTCAGCTGATTGAACGATGACGTCACGAAAACAAAGGTGACCACGTTTTCGGTAAATGCAGGGCCACAGGGATACAGTGTTGCAAAATGCTTGGGGGTGAGGGATGGAAGGGGAAGGGAAAGGGGGAGGGGTGCGGAAGAAAAATGGCTGAGCTGGCCTTCGAGATGAACCTGGAACATTTTTCTCCCCAGATTTGCAGCTGGCAGCAGGGTTATAATATATCAAAATTAGTTTTGGGGGCTGAACCTCGAGTTTATGATAGAGGAAAAAATGATGGATAAAATGATAACTAAAAATAGGAAACTGCATCCCTAGTTAGGAGGTACAATCCCGCCTCCCCCCCCCCCCTCCCGCCCAGCTGAATAGGAGACTACGCATTTAGGGCCGTTATGTTAGTGCCTTTATCTAATAATTCTGTTTGGAAAGTCCCAAGCTTCATTCAGTGTTTGATAGCCAGCTAATGGAACTTGAGTGCAAGTAAACTCCGGACACGAAAATGTATGATGAAGATGTAAAATGTATGATATGAAAATGTATGATATGCCGCATTGCTATTAAGTCGCCTTTGCTTTTTGTTGTGTATTGCATTTAGAGATATATTGCAACGGTTTCTGAAAGATCTGACTGCAGGTGACAATTCGGACGTTTTCGAATTTCGCCGGTGACAGAAAAGTCACTTTTTTAGTCCTACACTGTCGCTTATTGTGTTCTGCGATTGAATTGACATTCGAATGTCAACATAATCACAGTTGTGCCTGATGGAAAATACACTTGCCACGGTTGAAGAGAACGTGCCGGTCAACTTTTGTCTTGACTAACCCGCACAATATCATCGAACGTGAAGCTCTCTGAAATGTATTCAGATACTGTGCAGAACCAAGTGAGCCGTGAGTGCATGCACCATTCCTCATTCACGGTAACAAGCAAACCAACGAACGATAATCGTGCTTCCAAAATCATCCTTTCGTTCTGAATGTCTAGATAAGTAGTTGGCGCCAACAGCTCAGGATGCCTTCGGGTTCGTTCTGGGCTCTGTCAATGGGCGCCGTGCCGGCCTGTCGTCCCAAACCGGGATAACAGCCCAGGCCGACCGACCACTACGTCACCACGGGACGAAGCACGTAGTACCCGAAAATACGTGGCAGCACCCTCCGACTGTCAGACCGGCGCCGGAGGATTAGGCGCGAGTGAAGGTCTGACTTGCGACCCGTCCTTCGTGGCACATTAATGGACTGAGGTGCTGAGGGTGCTGAGTGCTGAGGACCAGAGGGGAGTTACATGCCTCCTGGAAGTACCGGTCTTGGTAGCTAAGGGATTAAGAGCCGTCGGAAATGGACAGCAGCAGCGGGAGCCGGACCCCGGAGCTACCCCGTGCGTGGGAATGACTAGTGATCACAGCCGCCGGCTCAGGACGCCGGCAGCTGGTGGCCGAGCCGGCGGAAGCGGTCTGGTTAGCCCGTGCGTAGATGCCGCTGCAGCGGCTTTCAGCCGTTGTATCACAGTCATCGCGACATTCACGAGGTCTGCAGTGATCCGACGACTTCACGTGATGTCGGGCGGCGGTTTCGCGCCTGGGGCGCTGCCATCGGCTCAGGGCTATTGACCGCGTGTGCTGACGCCGATTGCCATGACACCAGCGGCGCAACGTACAAATTTTGGTCAATGCAATTAAGTCCAGGTTAGCCTAGCGACGGCGGCAGTCATGACGCCGGAAAATGTCTCCTTCAGTTCCGAATGTTTGTGCGCCGCGCCAGCCTTCGTCCCAGCGCACAGCCGGCGACGTGGGCGGCCTGTTGGACGCACCCAGGTCGCACCAGGTGGCAGCAGGAGGACGGCTGTATTCGAGCCGTCATCG